AGTGAGATAAGCCAGAAAGAGAAAGAAAAATACCGGATGGTTTCACTCATAGCAGGAGTATAATGGACCAGGCGAGAAAATAACAAGAATAACGAACAGCCATATACCAGAGACATTTTGTGGAGGTGGAGTGGGGAATGGGATCCAAAACGGGGAGGTGGGGAGGGAAGTACACGGATTATGGTGATGGCACATAGGTGACTTGGTGATGGAAACCCGCAGGGATTACAACTGAGAAAGAAAAAAAAAATGTACAAAATGATGTAAAAATAAACTTTTATAAAATTTTTTTAAAAAGGAAAAAAATAATAAATGATATATATATAAAAAAAGGAACTGTTCTACCCAGGTCAATCAGTGAACCCTTGCTTTGCTAGTGACATTTCAGGAGAGGTTTTAGGAAAGGAGAAAGCCAGCCATGTGACTACCAGGGAAGGATTCCAGGCTGTCAGGGGAGCGAGCACAGGGCCTGAGGCTGGACGTGCCTCGCATAGTTGAGAGCATGGGGAGGCCTGTGTGGCTAGAGGGCAGAGAGTGAGGTGGAGGCAACAGGAAGGGAAGGAGAAGGCAGCAGAGAACCCAGATCACAGGGCCTTCGGGACTGTTCTAAGGACTTGGCTTTTCTCTGAATTTAAGAGAATGCCACTGGAGGAGTGGGTAAAGGTTCACAGGATCGCAAAAGAATTATTATGGCTGTTATACCAGCATAAGTCTAAAAATAATATACCAAAAAGGTGGCTTTCCTATAATCCAAAGTCCAAGGGTATTTGTACAGAACAAGCAGAAGACTGGTGAGGCCTTTACAGGGAGGAGGAGGCTGGTAGGCGGGAGTCCGGTTTGCAGAATATTAAACTTGTGGTATCTTTTATCTTCCAGTGGAGCCATTAAGAAGGCAGCTGGATATGTGACTAGTTTACAGACATGAACTAGAGACATAAAACAGCATTTAAAATACATCTCATTTAAAATCATGAAGGTAGATGTGGATTACAAAAAGAGGTCCAGAAAATGAGCTCTGGCACCCTAACTTTTAGAAATGGAAAGACCAACTGAGGACAGTGCAACAAAAATGAACAGAACAGTCAATAAGGTGGAAAGAACCAAGAGAATGTGGCATCCTGGGAGCCCAGCAAGATGCAGGAATGACCATGGCGTCAGCCACTGTTGACAGGCAGGCTGAGAGAGGGAGCACAACCCTACGCTGACAAAGGGACAGTGGTTCTAAAGGGATGGTGGGGATAAAAGTCTGCAGGGGAGGGCTCTGAGAACAGAGAAAAAGAGGAAACAAACACAGGGCATTGTGTCAGGTCGCCAAAGATGTCTGCCCCCTAATCAGGTACCTGTGAATATTTAAGTTGCATGGACAAAATGAATGAAGGTTGTAAATGGAGTTAAGATGATAGGGAGATCAATCTTGAACATCTAGGTAGGTCAATCTTGAACATCTAGGTAGGTCAACTAACCACAAGCTCCTTAAAAGTAGAAGAGGACAAGAGGAAAGAGAAACAGAGCAAGGTCAGGGTGAGAGAGACCAGGCTTCGTGCTGTGGATGTGGAGGAGGAAGAAGGGTGATGAGCCAAGGTAAACAGGCGGCCCCTAGAAGCTGGGAGAGACAAGGAAACGCATTCTGCCCTGGAGCCATTACAAGCAACAGTCCTGCTGATGTTCATGATTTCGGCCAAGCAAAACCCCTACTGAACTTCTGACCTGCTTAGAACTATGAAATGTGTTGTTTCCAGGCCCTGGGTTTGTGCTAACTTGATAAGCAGCAAGAGGAAAACAAATGCAAACAGACATGTCTTTTAGTCATTTCACTGTAAACTTCAAAGTAATCTTTTTCATACCTCACAACCTACAAGGTAAACTTTATGATCTCCATGTTAAAAAGAAACTGGCATTTAGAAAAGTCTTCTGACCAAGAACATGCATCCCCTTAAGCGACAGCTGCTAAATTCAAACTCAGATCTGTCAGCTCCAAGTCATAGGATGGAAATGTTACTACTCTAGGGAAGGTCTTCGCTCCAAGGTCCCAAGTTGGGAGTGGTGCTCACTGCACAGGCTGCCACCTGAGTGGACAGAAGAGGGGTGGAAGGAGCTCCAAGCCTCCTACTGCACTCCCACCACAATGCCTCTCCCAGGGAGCCCAAGCTTTTCTGTTTTTCATAGTAAACATTTAAACGCAGAAGTCGTTAACAAAGTCCCCTCATTAAAACTCACGCCCTATACACAGACAACTTGAGAAACTTTATGCTATGCGCTAGTGCTCTCTCCCTCTCTCCTTCCAGACCTGGGCTTCTCTTAATGAACTGCAGTGAGAACGGGTGCAGTTAACAGGTACTCCACCCCCTACCTTGGAAGACCTGATGAAGCCTGACCTTCAAAGAGTCAGTGTGCCTAACTCAGCTCTGGCTGAGCCTCAGCTTAGTCTTCAGCCTAAAAATAATCGACCCAGAGCCTAAATAAACATGTTCACCATGGCTGAAGGTTGCCAACTTTCTGTAAAAGGCCAGTTAGTGAATATTCCTGACATGTGACCACACGGTCTCTGGCAGCTCGCAGGCTCTGCCATGGTAATGTGATGCAGCCCTAGACAGCACATCAGGAGTCTGTCCTGTTCCAACAAACTGTATTTACAAAATAGGCAGCAAGCCAGATTTTTGACATATAGGTCACAGTTTGCTGACAAGAGCACAGCAAATAAAGAAGATAGCACCTTTACTGTCGTATTTAAGTCTGCAGAAGTGGAAGTGCCCACTCAAACCGGGAGATTGCTTCCTCAGCTATTAGCAGGCAGGCAAAGATTGTAAAATCAAGAAAGGCACACATTACAGTGAGTAACAATCCGAAAAAAATTCTTTAAAACATGAGAAATATAAAAACTACTTCTATATGTCACATTGGTAGACTCTTTGGAGTGGTTCATGTTACCTATTATAGATACAGAAGGAAATTAAATTTGTGTTTTTTAGGAAAAGGGAGTTTGAATTGTGGAGCAATTCCTTTTCAGCAACAACCTCATGTGCTGGGAAATGACTATCATGTGGCTATAATGCTGTCCAAACTTTCTCATCAGCAAGTTGCCCACTAACCAGCACTTGACCAGCCACCTGGCTTCCTGGAGGAGAATACAAGCACCTTCATAATTACCAGAGGCAGGGGAGGAGAGCACAGAGAGAATTTTCTACACCACATAATCAGAGCAAAATGGGTCAAGTTGAAACTTTACTGAGAAATAACTTCAGTGGTCCCTGAGAGGCTCTGCCCAAGCAACCTAGAATCCAGCACTCACCGTGCTCTCGGACACAACAAAAGGTGCCCACTTTTACACTAAAAAAATCGGTAGCCACTGAATTCATAATTCATTCCTGTTGAAACTGGAAGACATTTGGAGACAGCGACTGGGAAAATGAACTTAACACTTCCTCAGCTCCCTTTACAAGTACAAAGTACCAAGTCTCCTTCAGAAGCCTCATGTGCAGGCTGACCAGAGTGACAGCCCCCCACTGTCTCTTGGGTACATTCTCCTGGGGACCATTACACCAACACGAAAACCTGGCTCCTGTACCTTCAACGTGAACTCATGTGTCGGTCGCCCAATCCTGTCCTCCGACTCCACGCTGTACTCTCGCGCCAGGGGCACAGTGGGGTGGTAGAGGCGCCAGTGTTTCTCTCCCTCCAGCTGCAGGATGAAAACCTATAGTCACAGGAACAGAGTGTCAGAGCGCTTCCAACAACTCATGGGCGAAGCGCTTCTACAATACTAGCCTTCCAAGAGTCAGACAAAGTACAAGTTTCAGATGAAAAATAAAAATGAAAGATCAGGGTCTCTCCTGGTGGCGCACAAGGTTGGGACGCAGCACTGCAAGCTGGCCGCAGCCACTTCAGTGCAGTTCAATACCACGCTCCGGAGGTGACCACATGGTGCAGCAGACCTCTCCTGACCCGCCCGCTGCTCCCCTCAGCAGTATACTTTGTTGATCTGCCTGTTCTGCTCCCCACTCTATCTCTGGTGAAGCCTCTCACCGCCCCTGTACCCCTGGTTTGTACCCCAGTTCTGTATGTACAAATAAATAATAAATCTTTATAAAAAAGTGTAAGATCAGAGATGAATTTTCACACCACACATATAAAAGTGGTCACTACTGGTTTTTCCTTTTAAAAACAGGTAACCAGCAGCCCTGATACTGGAAGATTATTCATAATTTTCACCTTCATAAAGCCTTGCTACATTTGTTATATCCTACTGTGTACCCACTATCTCATTCACTCAAATCTTCTATATGTTATAAACCCATACATAATCTGTACCCATTTAATTTAGATAGCAAATGTCTAAAATCCTGAACATAATAGCTGGCAGGAAAGAAAACTTCCAGTTTTTAATTCTTCATTCAAAGAATTGTAATGCTTTGTTAATAAAAATATTGTAAAACACTTTTTGGAAAATGTTTTGATGCCAATTGCTCTCAAAGGGGAAAATATTTTTTTACTACTAACTATTCATATCATGTATTGGTACAAAAATAAAACCATAAAGTACCTACATCAAAGAGTTAACTTTTTTTGGCAGCCACATAACAGTGAAATCAACATTTGTCACAGTTCCAGTGTTTAAGTGAAACCAAGACCTTCATCCAAACTGCCCTAAGACTTTCACAAATTAAAAAAAAAAATACCTATTTTGGGCAGCTACAAAGAAAGGGACGAAATGAAAGCACATTAAGGATTGTGACCTTACCTTATTAAAGACCATATGTTATAAAATTAACAAAAAAGTCGATCACACTTTCCACAGATAAATTTTAAAAATAACTTTCGCAGGAATGTTTATATTAGTATGGTTGGAAACAATCTCTCCCTTGGAGAAGGAGCAGGAAACCAGTTTGGTGGAATTAATTTTGGCTAACAATCAGATGAGGTCAAGATCTACAGAGACCATAAAGCGCAGACAAAGACCTAGCCCAAGCGTTCAACTGAACCCTGACAATTACACTAACTGGGCTCGAAGCAACCCCAACTTGCTTCCCGTTTCAAGCAAGTTTCTTACCTCCACATCATCATAATGGGGTGGCAGGCCCTGAGAGCCGGCAGGGGTTATGTACACATTAGAGCCAACCAAGGAGCCAAAGTAGCATTCTAGCTTCTCTTGGATCCTCCAAAGCTCATCCTTTGAAAGAAAAAAGTGGGGAGAAAGGTGTGAAAATATATTGGAAAAAAGAGAACATTTTTAATTCACTTAACAAGTCTTCATCACACAGCTATTACACTGCAGGTACTAGAAATTCAGCAGTGAAAAGCCAACACCTCTGCCATCAAGAATTTTGCATTTTAAAGAAAGGATGTGAGCAGATAAAGTGAAAGACTGGCAATGCAGGCAATCTTTGGAAAGGACTTTAAGCAGGACAATGACATGAACCAACTTACATTTTAAAAGCTCACTATAGACCCTCCCTGGTGGCGCAGCAGGTTGGAGCACAGCACTATGAATCTGGCAGCAGCCACTTTAGTGCGAGTTCCATCCCTGGCCCCATAGGTGATCCACATGGTGCAGCAGACCATTCTTGACCCGCCCTCTGCTCCCCTGAGCAATGTACTTCATTACCTGCCTGTTCCCACTCTTTCTCTGGTGAATCCTCTCCCTGCCCCTGCACGTGTATCCCAGTTCTGTATGCATAAAAAAAATAAAATCTTTAACAACAAAAAAGCTCTCTCAGAGCCTAATTTCATTTATTAAAATGGGGAAAGACATGCAAAAGAATAAATGTTTAAGAAAGAAAAGGAAGAGATAGGTATTAGAAATGTTGACTCTGAGTTGCTAAGATTCCCATGTGGAGATTTCATTTGGGAACTGCCTACACAAAATTGATATTTAAAGCCATGGAAAGATGGCAAAATAGAGTAATTTTTACTTTGCTCCCCCACACAAAAGGAACAGTTAACTATTAAGGAACGATTAAGAGAATCCTATAGAAATATCAGGCATATTTTCAAATCACAATTATGTGAAACTAGAAATCATCCAAATGAATATTCAAGTTATAAGAACCTACAGGATATAGCAAAATTTAGAACATCATTGTTCAATATAGTAAAGAGTTAGAAACAACCTAGGTACGCATTAGCACATCATTGTTTAAAATAGCAAAGAGTTAGAAACAACCTAGGTACGCATCAACAGATGACTGGATAAAGGAGATCTGGCACAGACATACAATGGAACACTACCTGGCTATTAAAAGAAAGATGAAATACTATTTACAATAAGGATGAATCTAGAAGGTATTATTCTTAGAAGTCAGATGACAAAACACAAACACTGTATAATTTCATTCACTCATATGAGCATACATAAGTGAACAAGCTAAAACAAAAATAAAATGTGATTTACCTTCCCAGAAGGGAAGGTAAATCAGGTGAATCAACTGTAGAGTGAAGGATGGAATTAGACTTTTAGTGGTACACTTAGTATGGCATATACAGAAGACTTACAACACTAACCTATCTTACGTGATAAACCAGTGTTGCTTCAATTTTAAAAAAAGCAACAGGAGCAGTGGGACTAACCAGGAGGAGAGCACAGAGAGGAAGAGAACAGGGCTGAGTAATGCTCCCTCTCTTTAGCAATAAACCACTGGGCAAGCGGCCATTCAGAGGAAGGGGCCTAACGAGGAGCTATATGTTCCTGCAAGAAGAAAACTAATTTTTCCAGGGAGATGTGGAGAGAGAACAATAAGGTCATGTAGATATTAGCACTTCCTAGTGCTGGGCACTGCTTCTAAGGGCTGGATGTACATTTATTACATAAGCTTCCAACAACTCTACCCTTTAAGAGGCACTGATGGGGAAACCAAGACAAGAACACAGATAAAAAGTGATGGGGGGCCCTCCCTGGTGGCACAGCGGGTTAAAGCACAGCACTAAGAAGCTTAAGCCACTTCCGCATGAGTTCGATCCCCACCTGCCCTGGAGGCGACCACATGGCGTGGCAGACCTCTCCTGACCCGCCCGTTGCTCCCCTCAGCAGTGTACTTCGTCTGCACCCCGCTTTGTCTCTGGTGAATCCTCTCACCCTCCGCATCTCTGGCCTGTACCCCAGTTCTGTACAAATAAATAAATAAATAAATCTTTAAAAATAAAAAAGTGATGGGGCCAGAATTCAAATCTAGGCAGCTTGGTTCCAGAGTTGATAAATTTAAACACAAGTCTACTGCCTCTCTCTCTTAAAATGACTTGCAGAGGACACTGAAGAGGCCAAAGTTTCAAGCATGTGAATGTACAGAACCTGGCGCATCAAAGACACTAGTACATATTTAAAATATTTGCCAACTGACTTCCTGACCACAGTTGTAGAGTCAATTGTACCATGAGACTGAAAAGAGAACTTATAGTATTAAAATTATCAAATGGGATACAACTGGGCCAGCATTTGAATGGGAGACATCTTTGTATAATTCTCTATAGATTTTAGAGCTTCTACTAAAAACAGGAAGAATTGTATGACATCTGAATGGTTCCAGTTAACAAAACTCCCAAGTGGCCTAACTGATACCAAGGAGGGGCCAGCAGGCCTGGCTCTATAGTTATGCTCACATAGTGACTATAACCTCTGAAGGACCAGGGCTTCTCTGATGACCTGAGAAGTGTCTCAGGACCCTGAGTGGCTTTCTGGCTCCTCACTCAGCAGGTGGGTATGTAATTGATGCAGATACTGTGCATTTTTCCATTTTCCTGTACCACTAGCTCTGGATCTAAGTGTGGCCTACTAGAATGAGGTCTAGAGTCCAAATTGTAGTTACAAGCTTGGTGACTTCAGGTTCTTTTGTAAAACAAAGTCTCCTGTACTTAAGATTGTGGATAACAACCAAAATAGCTTATCTCAAATACTATTTAAATTGCAGAGCAGGTGACAAATATTCCTGCTTTATCAATGTTTGGCAGGCACAAACAAAAATCTGTCTTCATAACTTCTGACACCCAGCTATGTGTAAAGAAGCCAAGGAATAGGACGCAGTCGCCTCTGGCCTGGTTAGGAACAACCTCCTCACAGCTTCACTCCCCAATCCTCACTGAATGCTGGGTAAGACCATGTATAGGCCTAAAGAAAGGCAGTAACAAACATGCCAAAAGCCCTACAACATCTAAATTACACCTTTCATAGTACTTTAGGGAAATTCTGTATTTTTGGAGTCAGAAAAGTTTGTTTGAAAAAAAATAGTCCTTATAAAAAGTCACCTCCGTGAAATCCTGCTTCCTTACATATAAAACAGGGGCCACAGTGACTACCATAATTATTTTAAATGTCTGTGGATGTTTCAAAGAGGCCACAGTGACTAACATAATTATTTTAAATGTCTGTGGATGTTTCAAGGTGAACACATGTCTAAATACTGGGTAAATTCACCAGGACTTCTGATCTGTGAATTCCCAACACAGGTGGGAAACAATTTATAGCTCTGGTTACCTACTCCCTCATCTGCAGGCTCCTAGAATAAGCTGTACATGTTCACAGAAATAAGGGGTGGTTTGTCTCAACCTAACTACCCTAACTGGTGATAACTGCCTTAGACTTTCTATCCCAACAGTAATATGCTGATTACTAAAGAACCCACAATGCTAATCCTCCTAATACGAATTTCAAACCCCAGTCTCTAGTGTAAAAAGATTAGCTGTACAGCTCATGGCTCTTTCTGGTAGTTGTGGTGGAAATAGAAAAATGAAACAGATTGCATCTTTTCTGTTTTAATAAACCTGGCCAAAGAGCTCCATCAACAAGGTCAGGGTACAGAAATGACAGTCAGGACACCACACACACCAACTTTCTGCTGGTCTGTGACCAAATCACAAAGTATCAACTTCACTAATCTTTTGTGGTCATAGACATAGGTTGCTAAAAAATACTTTTTTTAAAAAAGATTTATTTATTTATTCATACAGAACTGGGGTACAGGCCAGAGATGTGGAGGGTGAGAGGATTCACCAGAGACAGAGCGAGGAGCAGAACAGGCAGACAAATGAAGTACACTGCTGAGGGGAGCAGTGGACGAGTCAGGAGAGGTCTGCCGCGCCATGTGGTCACCTCCGGGGCAGGCGGGGATCGAACTCATGAGGAAGTGGCTTTAGCTTCTTAGTGCTGCGCTTTAACCCGCTGCACCACCAGGGAGGGCCCACTAAAAACCACTTTTAAAAGGTGCTGTTTTTATCCAGAAAGAGCCAAGGACCAGGTTTTCAAGGAAAAACACCATGCTATCCCTATTTATAAATTCCTGTTGGGGCTAGGGCCAAAGAGCTGCTTTCCAGGAACATTTCAACTTCTGATTAACTGAGATGGAGTATCTGGAAAATCTCAACACTATTTATACTTCATTCAGAGTACAAACAGGTTCAGGATCTTTTAGAAAGACAAAGAGCAGATGAGGCCTAATGGGACCTAACAGGGCAACCTTCCAATTCTGTCCCGGGAAACATTACGAAGGACCGTATCTCAGGAGCCACCAACACAGCCAGAATTTACTCCCTTTGATACGAAACCTCACAAACCATTTTCCTCTCACAGTAACATTCTGTTTCAGACATGGGTCACAGAAGGGCTTTCTGAATCTGGATAAAATTTTATCTAAAACTCAAAATAGGACTCATAAAAATTTCAAACCTGTATGAAAAAGACTGGTTTATCCTAAGTCTGCATGTGATAAATGCAGAGACTAAGTACAGAGCAGGAAAGTTATTTCTCAAATGTTAATCAGTGATGTAGAAAAATTACAAAGTAAGCCAATCTTCAAGACTTGCAAAACAACACTATTCTCCACCTAGGACTACCTCTGCAGAACAGTTCCAGGGTCTTGCACCTCAATGTGAAGTCTTTTTCCTGAACATGCACCTGGCATGATCTAGTCACAGCTCTTAAGTCTCCACTTGGGTGTAGGCAGTAAAGGGAGATAACTTCAAGAACATGATTATCTTGATGCTATCTTGTGTTGCAGTGATGGAGTAAACCAAACAGATACATTTGCCATATCTCAAAACACAAACCAAGGAACATGCTCGTTCCTGGAGGTGTAATGCTCTTTAATAAGCTTTTCAGATTGGCAATATAACTATAGTTTTTGCAGCTCAATGGTACCTGTATCCATCCTGAGTTGCTGGGAGATTCTAACAGTTCCGTAAAAGGATAACAGAAAACTGGTCCTCCCTGGTGGCGCAGAGGGTTAAAGCACAGCACTGAGAAGCTAAAGCCACATCAGCATGAGTTCGATCCCCGCCTGCCCCGGAGGTGACCACATGGCGTGGCAGACCTCTCCTGACCCGCCCGCTGCTCCCCTCAGCAGTGCATTTGGTTGATCTGCCTGTTCTGCTCCCCACTCTTTCTCTGGTGAAGTCTCTCGCCGCCCCTGAGCCTCTGGCCTGTACTCCAGTTCTATATACACAAATAAATAAATCTTAAAAAAAAAAAAAGGATAACAGAAATCACCTAAGGTGGAAATATCTGTGAGGACACAGCCACCTCTTCTCAAACTAGCAGGAGGCTAATCATGAACCCACAGGTTCATTCCTGAGCTCAACTGTGGCCAAATGTTAGCAATTGAATACACATGCTGATTCTTCACTGGGGAGAACCTATTACCTTAAATCTCTGTGGCTGGTGAAACTGAATTGTTGCCCTTTTCTGATCAAAATCTTTTCGCAGCTGAAGAAAGTGTGCCTTGCCATCTTTATTTAAAACCTTCTTCTTGCCATTGACACACCGGCAGACATTGACATCTCTTCCGTAGTACATACCCTGGCCACACAGACTCTTCAGATCTGACAGCCTGAACAGTGCCTGGTAGTATGTGGCCAGGGCAGGATCATCTCTCTGAATGAGAAGGGGCTTCTGCTCCCAAAACTCCTTAAAAAACGTCTCTGTCTTGATGGGTGAGATTAAACTTTCAAACAGCCCACTGGGACTGTCAAAGTTTAAAGCAAAAACTTCACCAGCTGCCTCCACTTTCACCTGTTTACAAGGCACAGGCCCCTCTTCCTTCCCATTCCCTGCAGCCTTCGCTTTCTTTGGCATTGTTCTGTCTTCAAGACAAAGCACGGAAACCTACCAAAAGAACACAACACACGTGGTTAGGTTTACCAAGAATGCCAGTATTGGTTAGCAAATTATGCACACACAATGTGCGTGAACATTATGCCTTCATGAGAACCGTTTATAAGTCAATGCTATTTCCTCCAGGATAAGATACATCCTTAAGATAATACCATTTGTTCCAAGAAATGATTCAACCTCAAACACTAGTCACTTAAAGGAAAACACGTTTTTCTTGTACACAGCACTGAGCTGTGGAATTAATTATCCATTTATAAGAAGGGATAATTATCCAAATTAAATTATTTGAGAACCTCAGCAGTTCCTAATTACAGTTTTAACCTGGGCAGCTGATACAGCAAAATCAACAATTAGAATTTGGCTTCACTTAGTACTAGGTCCAAAATCTCATTAAATGCACTCTGAGTAACAAATGCTGGGTGGAGAATTACCAACAAATGCCACACCACCTGCTGTTCAGGAGGTCAAACAACAGGCCTTAGGCCACAGGCCTCATCAGGAGGTTAGGGCACAAATCTCTGCCTAACTAGAGCACTTCCAAATTTCAGCTTATTCTGAAAATAGATATTTTATCAAACCCTCCCCAACCCTCAATTAAAAAAATAAGGCACTGAAAATTGAAGGCTAAACACAGTTACATACCAAATCTTTAATAACAATAAACAACTTTTTAAATAGGACATAAAAAATACCAACATTATCACCCTGTAACAGTTCTTCTCCAACATTAGTTGTAGACATATGACCTGGGCAGCAAGATCTAAGGTTGGGCTTGAGATTCTGACCTTCTAAGAAGCTTGCAAGAGGGCACTCCCTGGTGGCACAGCAGGTTAAAGCACAGCACTAAGAAGCTAAAATGCCACTTCAGTATGAGTTCGAACCCCGCCTGCCCCGGAGGTGATCCACGTGAGGAGGGAGACCTCTCCTGACCCGCCCACTGCTCCCCTCAGCAGTGTACTTCCTGGATCTGCCTGTTCTGTTCCCCTCTCTCTCTGGTGAGTCCTCTCGCTGCTTGCAAGTAAGGTTGCTGCTGCTGGTCCACAGTCCACACTTTGTAGCTAGGTGAGGACATGCCCAGCATGGCCGAGCTTTTCTCAGAACTACCTCAAACTCACTTTATAATGCAGGTAGTTCCTCCTCTGAGCCTCAAAAATGGTAATTCAAAATGCATGAAGTTCCTGACACCACAAATTCTATCTTAAATACTTTTTTTTTTCTTCTGAAAAGGGGGGGGGGGTGGGTAGCAAGAATTGCTTTCACCAAATTCCTAAAGTTATCCACGTCACCACTGAAGAATTACTTCTGTGCTTATAAAAAGCAACTTCCAAGACCAGTAACTTGTCTATATCTGTTATTGTTTTGTACAGTAATGGGCTATCAGAATTGCAAAGACACTGTTTTCTGGTGTCTTGTTATTATACCTAAACTGTATTTCAGCAATACTGTGGGGTAAGAATGATACAATGATAAAATAATTAACATTTTTAAAATTATAATAGTGTGATAAGACTCCCTTTCTGCCCCACCAGATAAGCATTTCTATCTCCTTTCCATTCCCAAGGGAAAAAAGCATCATTAGGAAGGTAACATTCTGAATTGCTAACCACACTGTGTGGAATTGCTAATCACCAGGTGATGGCATCAACAGATTGCAAAGATAAACACGCAGACCCCTGCCCACCCCCCCTTCCACTCCTATGTAACTCTGGATAAATCCCCTGCCCTCAGCCAAAGTGCAGGACTGTGGGCTTTCAGACATGAGTCTGCTGGCCTGCATCAGTCTGTCGACAAATTAAACTACTGAGTATCTTCCTTTTCAAGTTGACTGCTTTTATTAGCTAAGGGAAATGGAAACCCGCATTGGTAACAGATGGAACCTGGAAAGCATGCATCCTGGAACAATGTGTCACACTGCCAACAACTAATTTATAAAAAGAATGCATCGCAACTTAAAGTGAACAAATTAGGAAGTGTAAATATCAGAACACAAAACTCTAAAGGTCTCATTTTTTAGCATCTAAATTTTGTACCCACAAATAGCTCAGTTCCTTCAAAAGATGCAGTACTTATGGTGAAACACGGGCCGACAGGGGAACCAACACTAAAAGTTAACACTTAGATATAAACTTTAGTATTTTAAGATATGTCATGAAGTTTTTAAAAAAATGTTTTCTATCCTTTTAAGTTATTAGACCAGCTTAATTTCTCAACTAAAGAATCAAGGCTTCCATGATACAAAGTATTGCTGCTCTTTAAAACCCAGAGCCAATGGAGAAATACAGGAGATAAGAACAGATTCAGCAAAGGTATCGCATGTGCAGGAGTTATTATCATCCCTTTGAAAGACCAGCTTGTAGTTGACTTTTGTGGAATTTAAATAACCACCAGTAACTTATAAGAGCAATTCACTGTGCTTAAACTGTACAAAGTGATTATACTGAACACCTGCTTTCTTTCTGGAAATTCTGATAAACCTCAGGCAGTGTATGCCTATATGACCCTGGGCACTGAGTATCTAATGAGTTCCCTAGGCTAGCAATTTCACATGTGTTTTCACAACTAGCTGCTGGAAGGAATTAAGAGCTTGGCCTCATTTTGCTATAATAAATCACCTGTAAGTCTTAACAAATGACCAAACCAAGAGACTGGTCTTAGGGATCCCCTAATAAACTGCTCATATCTATTTTTTAAAACAAAGTATTAGACTAGTTCATAAGGTTGGTATCATTAAAGGTACTTAAGATGAAAAAAAAATTTTTATTCACACACCTCTTATCCTTATCTTATGTCAGCTTAAGGGATGTGTGAAAGCTTAATTTCTTTAAACACAGTATATAAGTATATATAAGTACATTCATCAAAACCTATGGTTAAGTGTGCAAGATACTTCTTAATCAGAAATAAAGCAATTTTCCATCTACAATCACTATAAAAATACCACCACTAATGCAAAACAAGTACTTTGTTAAAACACAAATTTCACTAGTTAAACTGCCAAATGATATACCACTTACTGTTACCAACATCGGTACTGAAATGGCCAGTGGCTCAGTTAACTGTAAACTAGCTTAGAGTTATTGGGCAAATTTACTATTTCTCTAATCCTCATACGACCCATATTGTAAGACAATCAATCCTTAATAACTTTTGGGGAGTGGACAATCCTACCACATTTTAAAGTTGTCGAACTCATTACCATTTCAGAAACCATGAAAATAAAAAAGCGTGTTTTAGAATCTGACAAATATAGTTAAACAAAAAAATGTTAAACAAAAAAATGTGGGATCAGGAAAGAATAGCCAACACAAGTCTGCCTGACTTCACAGACCACCCAAACAACAATTAGTGTTTTTATATGGTAACAGAGTAAATATGCCAGTAACTATTTTTATACAATGTTTCCAATGTGAGCTGCAACTGTATTAAAAGAGTTAAAAAAAAAAAAAGCAAAGAGTAAGTCAAAAGATTACAGTTCATATTTTAGTCACTGCCCAGAGAACTTTGAAGGATTAAAAGTAGGAGAAAATCAATATTGAAATCCATTCTATGGCCAGCAAATTTAACACAGCCTTTATATTTTTAAGTGCATACTGTTTCTTCTGTAGTAATGACATGGCTTCCGGAGAGGATAACTATCTGACTATTCTCAGAGGCTGGGACAGGCTGTGGCACAAAGTCCTCAAGAAATGCCTGCTGTTTCCCTTTTACATCTTTTGTATTAATTTGAGAGAAGGGGGTTTCTCAAAAAAGCCTTATACAGGAGTTGGGAGAAAACAAATGCTTAGTTTGGGGATTGTTCTTCTGGATACAGCTGCTTTCTTGAGCATTTAACAGATAAAAGACTCAGGCATCAGGTAAAAATTACCAACCAGAAGACGGGGGGTGTGCGTGTCTTTCTAAACTGCCAATCAGTGTTTTTCAGTCATCAGGAACACTAGTCTACACACAAATTTCTGGGTCTTATTGGATTAACACTTCTGGTAGCTGGGTCTTCTGAATACTGGATTAACATTTCAGAAACCTGCACTAACATACTTAAGTGCTCCACATGAATTTTAGTTCCAGTAACAGAGAACACAAACTCAACTCATTTAAAAGTACCCTTTACACAAATGACAGAAATTGTTGCCTTTAACAAGGTGCTGAGGCTTCTATAAGAAAAAAAAAAAGCTGGTTCAGAAACATTGATCAATACAAAGAGGAATAACTGGCATCCTGTGGATGATGCTCTGATTGGCATTACCTTTTCAGTTCTATTTTAAAAAGAGAAAATGGACTGGTTATCGTGAATATATTTTAGTGACCATGACTTTGCAATGGATGAGGCCTGGGAGGCGAAGATGGAAGAAGCTGGGCAAATCAGGCTGTTCCCATTTAAAGATGAGGCCAGTGAAATCAACGCCTGCACCTGATTTACCGCCAGCTAGTGGCAGAATCCCAGGCAAATCACCGTCCAGGGCCCATGCTTCCTGACAACACAGCCAAGAAACTGGTGTTAACTGTTAACCTGTTGGACAACCCAACCTTGGTTCTAGAAACATGATTGCCAAATGAAAGAATAGTCCGATAAAATGTAATTTTCAAGTCACCCGAGGAGAGAGGAAAGAGGGGCAGCCGCACCCCGCTTAGGGGGTCCCAGCTGTCAAGCCAACCCCACCCAAACGACCTGACAGCAGGAAAGCACAACACACGTGGTGACGCTCCCGAGAGCCGCTGGGGCCCAGGCTCGCCTTGGCCTGCCAGATGATGAACCCCAAACTTTCTTCCCGCTTCTCCCCAGTTTCGAAACCTCCCGCCAAGCACGTGCGCTACTCTGGGTGCCCAGGCCACCGTGGCACGTCCCCGGGGCCAGCAGCCCCCGGCCCGGCGTGCGCAACCCGCCCGCGTGGCCGGGTCGCGGAGCACGTTGGCGCGCGTCCCGGGTCCCGTCCCCACCGCACCCGCCCCCTGACTCCGGAGCCCCAAGCCCCAGGCTCAGTCCGCCCCTCGGCCCGCGCTCGAGCCCCAAGTAGAAGCCCCTGAACCCCGCCGCCCAAAGCGCGGAGCCGCGGGCCAGAGCCACCCCCACTCACCGGTTCGGCCTGTTGCGCGCGACCACGAGACAACCGGCGGCTCCTCGGCTGGGGGCGGGACGGCGTGCGCACGCCGCGGGGC